GATAAGAATTTTAAAGGCCACCCAAAGACAATTTAAAAACTAGACAAGAACTGGTTTTAGAAGGAGCAAAATGTCTGGTTTTCAAGCAAGCCACGCTGTGCACAGCCATGCCAGCACACAGACAGGCAGCAGGGAAGTGTGTGAGGCTGCAGCCCCGAAATCCCCACAGCGCTGGGAATTCCTCTCACTCGGCTCTGAGGCAGCCCGGGGAGGTTTTCCAGCCCAGGTTCTGTGCTGTGCCACAATCCTCACCCTGCCCTGCAGACCTGGGCCGAGGATTTCCTCCAGCCACGTGGGATCCCAGCAGCCTGAGCAGGGTCAGATTCCTCAGGAAGGGAGCTTGGAGTAAAACCAAGCAGCAAAAATGCCCCTAATTCTTGGATTTTCCAAACTGTGAGCAGTGCCCAAATGGCACCGAGGCAGAGCTGTCCCTGGGTTTGGTGACATCCTGGAGCAGAAGCTGAAGGAGAGCCCAGGCACACCCGTGTCCTGGCAGTGTCACCAAGGGATGTTCCCACAACAAAACCACCAGATGCCAACAAAAACAACAACTGTGATCCCGTGTGCCAACGGGAACAGCCCTGCAGGGACACCCTGAAAACACCCCACAGCATGGTTCCAGCAATCCAACGGGTTTAGGAATTTGGAGGCCACCTCACCACAAGGCCACATTTCCTCTCCAATTCCTGCATTACAATTCTGCATTTAGTGAGTGAAACTCTCAATTCAAACTCTGCTTTCCAGGCTCTGTAGCTAAACCACCACGAGTACTACCAACAAATAAACAAATCCCAGATTTATAATCAAAATATACTTTAATGGACACACTAATTCCATTTATAACTTCAGGGCTGTTTTGTTGGCATGAGGTATGCTGAGCACCCCAGTGCCATGGCAGAGACAAAGAAAAGATCACCCAAAACCTGCTCCAGCATCACAATTCCTTGTTCCCAGCTCGCCAGCATAGAAGGTTTAAGAATTAAGAATTGTTTAAACTTAGTAGATGTGAATTTATCTGTTAGGAGTAGGAACAGAAAGGAGGATTGCAAATGCTTCAATTTCGTATTGTAAGAACATGCAAAGCTTAAAGACAACACAGTTATTCAAGATAAAAATCCAGACTACAGCAAAAGGAACCACTCCTGAGAGGACACTGCAATATCTGCCACTTCCCAGGATGGCAAAAGTATGTCAATCACCACTGATATTTTAAAATGATATTTATTTCTCAATTTGTACCCTGTACCCATCGCTCAGCACCTGGGTACAGACATTAAAATATTACAAATCATTTGTCTACAAATTATCGTTGAAGTACATCCTTATTCCTGGGATACAGATCTTCCCAAATCCATTTCCATCCCCAAGCAGACAGATCCCAGCAGGGCCTGGGGAAGGAGGGAGTGGGCAGAGAGGAGCCTCGGTGGGGACAGCGTGGGACATTTGGGCCAAAAGCAGGGCTTTGGCTGCTGGAAACTCCCGGCATTTTACACACCTTGATCAACGTGCACAGAGCAGGACAGCACTCCCAGCATGGCCTGCAGCCCTTCTGCTGGGGGCTGGGGCACTCTGGCAGTGACACGGCCCCGAGGTCACCTCAGGGCACAGGAGAGACCAGGGGAGAGCAGTTACTGCCAAAGGGCTCGTGGGGAGGCCTTGCACGGACACAGCGCTGGGCTCTGCATGGCAGAGACAGGGCAGGACCCCGGCATGGCTCCAGGCCCTTCTCCCACAGCCCTGCATCCATCATCCATCCATCCATCCCTCCATCCATCCGTCCATCCATCCCTCCATCCATCCATCCCTCCATCCATCCGTCCATCCCTCCGTCCATCCCTCCGTCCATCCATCCCTCCATTCCTCCATCCCTCCATCCATCCATCCATCCATCCACCCCCCACCCATCCAGGGAACGCCGCCGGAGTCAATGGAAATGCTCTTGTAAACAAGGACTTACAAGAAGCCAACGTGACAATGCTTTCAAAGGAGTTTGACTGTGCAATTGTTGCTGGATTAGAGGCTTCAGGCACACCGAGCTCGCTGTGAGGAGGGCAGAATTCCAATCTCCACGGGCTGGGGCTCGGCCTCGGCCATGGGAACGGCTCCTGGGCTCCCCCAAACCCAGCAAAGCCCCAAGGAAGCGATGGGAGCGTCACAAAAAGACAAGCTCTCCTTTTTACAACCTGAACTGACCTAAACCGAGCCTAACACTGGCCCTAAACCGAGCCTTGTCACTGCCTGAATGAACACAGAATAAACTGTACAAGGACCGAGAGAGAGAGAGGGAAAGAAAGAAAGAAAGCTCAAAATTTCCTACAAAACAAACCTATTTGGCAAAGTCCTCATTTAAAATCATTGATTCAACAATAAAGCAGCAGCCCAGCCCAGCAGCACAAACAGCAGTATTTATCTTTCCCAGATAAGTAGAAGTTTGGAATAAATAAATCACCCATTCCTCCGCTTATATAAATGCAAACCAGAGCAACAAAACATGGCAATAGCACAAAAGACAAACAAATGAGTTAGACACGGAGTCCAGGAGTTTAAGAAGTCTCCCCTGTATTTAATAAAGCATGAATTATTTTTTTTTTAGAAACACTAACAGATCCCTTGCAGATAGTTTTTTATCTTTATATTGTTATTATATAAGACATGTTGTGTTTAAAGTGAACTATTGCTTCGTCTAGGTGGCCCCTCTGCTGGGCATAGAAATTAGGTATTGAACAAAATCAAAAATCACCATTGAAAATTACAAACTATACAACTCAAAAACATTTGGAGTTGGTTCTTTTCCCACCCCCAGTCCGAAGAGAGAAATAATGGAATCACTGGGCACGGGGAAAGTCTGGGGTTTAGCATAAAATCCTGTGTCTACTTCAAATGAAAGCGAAGGCAGCGCAAGCCCCGGTGAGGGAGAGGAAGGAGGAGATGCAATCCCAGCTCATCCCTCTCCATTAACCCAGCAGGAGGAACATTCAAAGCAGAACCGAACCTGACTCTTTGTCCCCAGCACAGCTCCAGGTCCTCTCGGAATCAGCGGGACTTTTGCTTTTGGACAACTGAATATTCATGATTCTGCCACGGTTGGTAATTAAAACGTGAAATCTGGCATTTCGCAAGGCTCCAGGATTTTTTTGTTTCATTTTTCTCCAAGAGGATGAGGCTGCATCGAGGGCAAAGCAAAATATTCTCCCCCACTGCCATTCAGAGAACTTCAGAACGACCAAACGCCGCCAAAGCACTGACTCTGCCTCAGCTCTAAGGAAAAAGGATTCAAATTACTTTCAGGACATTGAGGTTATGCTGTGTCCAAACCATCCAACTAGGAGGGAAAAAAGTAAAATTATCTTCAAAGAATCAACTAAAACTGGATCAATTGCAAACCGTATCTTTGCAAGCATTTCACATTTACAACGCGTTTTTGTTTATGCATAAAATCAGCATTTTGAATGTTCTCTCTTAGCATAGAGCACGAGTAACTGAAGATATTGAATAATTTGATTATTTCGGAATTTAAAAATTTAAAACGCTGTGGAACAGGGTATTTGGACTTCAACAACTGAGCCTGGAGATGGAAAGAAAGGCCGGAGCTGCCTCTGGCCGCTGCCTGCATCGACACCAGGGCTCAGACTTCCACCAGAGCCAGAGAGCTGCCCAGGATCAGCAGAGTGGATCGTTCCTTCTCAGGGCTATTTTACTCAAGAGAATCAATTTCTAAAAATTGCTTAAAACATCAAATGAAACACAAGTTATCTAAACATCAGATTTTCTAATTTTATTAAAAACGCACAAATTTTATCCAACATGTTTTCTTTCATACAGTGAATGGTCTAATATGCACTGGAGGTCACACAAGCTTAGGTTCATTAGAACAATAAAAGACATATGAGAAATTTAATATATAAAGAAAAAAGTAGCAGCTGTTGACTGCATATTTGACCATAAAATTTAAATATTTTGGACTTTTATTTTAAAGACACAAAAATAAAACCTGTGTGGGTCTATATAAGTCATATTAACAATTCCATGAATGTTCAACAGGACTAAAAATTAGCAAAGATGTTTGTTTGTCTTTTTTTTTTTCTTTTTAACATTGTAACACTTTTTAAACACCTTCTCGGGTTGCTGGTGCAAAGCACCTTACAGTATTTGTGCTATATATTTACTTTATTTGGCAACTGTCTGGGTTTTGTGGATTTTTTTTTCTTTGCCTTCTGTAAACAACACCTTTTACAAACTAGCACAGTGAACCACAAGCCCTGCAATCTGTTAGAACATCTACAGAAAAGAAAATGAACTATTTTGGTTGGCTGCTCAAAATCTTTTGCTTTTGAACAAGAGGTTTTTCTAAAACAGGATTTATTAGTAAAACATTGAGCTCCTGAATTTAACATTAGACGTAAACAGTTGACTGTTTTTAGTTCAATAGAGTCTTTTTGTTTAGCTTTTCTCTCTCTGTGAAGGTAGAATACTTTTTGTTTGTTTGTTTGTTTTTTCAAGTCATTTTCGTTAGAGGTCTGGGTGGTGACCTTTGCTATGATGAGGAGGTTTTGTACGTGTAGCTTTGTGAAGGTAGCAGAGTTGGTGCTGAGGGCTTAACATTTAGTATTTGCTATTTTTGGAAAAAAAACAAAACAAAACACAACAAAACCAAAGCAAAACAACCGAAACAAAACAGAAAAGAAAAAAAGAAAGGAAAAAGGAAAAGTTGTCCCACCTGATCGTCAGCAGGCTGAAATGGCTGAAGCTAAAAAGAGTTTCTTGTTGTCGAACTTTCTGAGAGACAAAAATGAACAAACAGATTCATAATGCCAGAACCATCCTTAACCAGGAACGCTATAGAGAGTTCTTGAAGCTTTTTTTCCCCTTTTCTTTGACCTCTCCTTCATTCAATTATTTTTAAAATTTTTTTTTAATTTTTTTTTTTTTTTTTAACGAGAAGTTTCTAAGGATTGTGGCTCTTAGGATGACATCCAACAGGGTAATCAAACTTAGCCATCCTACGGAATGGCAGCACTTTTACTGTACAGCTTCCCCAGTTTCTTTGTCAATGGTACAAAAAAGTCCCCTTGCTTGTTTGATACAACCATAACATGGAGATTGTCCTGGTCTAGAGCAAAGCTTGCCTTGGAGCGATTGGATTCAGTTCGTTCCCAAGGTAAAATTGTCTTAGGGCGGGAGAGATGTTATATGAATTCATTTCTGTACACCATAACAATAAGCAGACTAGATGATCATCACTTACTTAGACCCAGTTTGTTTAAAGCTACCACACAGCCGCTTCGTTCATCTCTGGAGGGTGGGACAAGTGATTGCCGTAGTTAGCACCACCGTTGACGGATATCGACGAAAATGGGGGGCTGGGGCCAAAAACTTCTGCGGACATGGAGTGCAAGGACCCGGGCAGGTTGGGTTCGGGGCTGGGCGAGTCCCCCGGGGGGTGCGACATGATGTCAGTGAAGCGCTGAGCCTCACTCGAGGGGTGATGTCCGGGCAGGGGGTGGTCCATGGCCCCCAGCGGGGTCCCTGACGGCCCCGAGGAGGGCACGAACGGGAGATCCACGGGGGTCTGCGCTTGAGACGAAGGCGGTCCTTGCGGGAAGAAATCGTAATTGCTTCCAGGGCCGTAATACTCGCTCTGATAATCTGGCGGACAAAGAGAGACAGAGGGACGGTAACAGAGGGGCAGGTACCCGAGCGGGGACGGCACGGGCGCGCTCCCAGGGCGGCGCGCCTGGGGGGGCTCGGGGTGTCACCCACGAACCCGAGGGGAAACGCGTGACCGGGCTGGCCGGGCTCCGACAGCCCCGGGACCCCCTTCCCGCCGAGCAGCGGGAACACCGGCACGAAGCGGCGCTCCCGAAAACACCGGGGGAACAGCGGGAGAACGCCGGGATCCCGCCGGCAGCGCGGCCACGGCCGCCCCCGGCTGCGGGGAGCCCCGCGATGGGCGGCGGGAACCGGGCGGAACGGCCCCGGGGCGGCAGGCGGAGCCGCCAGGAGCCCGGCGCGGAGAGAGGCAGCGGGGGAGCGGTACCCACCTCCGTAGAAGGAGAAGGGCCCGTTGGGGATGAGCTCGCCGGGCTCCAGCCGGTCCACGAGCGGCCGCATCCTGCGCGGGCTGCGGAAGAACGCGTGTCGCCGGGCGCCCAGCGCGCTCAGCTGCTTCATCCGCCGCTCCTTGGAGCGCCGGTTCTGGAACCACACCTGGCGGGGCGGCGGGAGAGGCGCCGGTCACGGGAGCCGCGGGTCCCGCTCCCGGCAGCCCGAGAGGGGCCGCGCTCCCCCTTCCCCTCCATCCCCGTCCCCATCCCCATCCCGGGGCTGCGCTTTTCCCTTTTCCCGGTCTCTCGTGCCCGCTGCGCACCGAGCCGCGCTCCAAGCGCGGCCGAACCCACGCGTGACGGCGGCCCCGCTCCCCACCGACTGCAGGTCAAGAATGATTGAGTTAATTCTTATTACCCTGACAAGATTACTGCTAATTACCCTCACACTGAGCCTCTCCAATCTAACCTCGTCTTTAATGGTCCTTTAACCCCCCATTACCCCAGCGCTGCGGGTTTATAAACCTTTTAATAATTCCAGCGCGTTGTCATTCTTATTTACCCATTAACCCCTCACATTTCTGGTTATTAATTTCGATACTGTTTGCAGCTTCTTGAGGACTTTTGCGGATAAACCCGCGGCTCTGTCCCCGCCGACTGGCCGGGGCTGGGGAACCGGGAAGCACCGGGAAGCACCGGGAAGCACCGGTAATAACGATTTCAAAGGCCGGCGGGGCTTCCCCCGTCCCCGCAGTGCGGAGGCTGCCGGGCACCGGCCCCTCCTCGCCCCCGCACCCCCCGGAGCCGTGCCCGGTGCCCGGGGGCGGCGGTACCTGGATGACCCGCATGTTGAGGCCGGTCTCCTGTGCCAGCTGCTCCCTGATGTGCCGGGTGGGTTTTGGGGTGGCCGCGAAGGCGGCTTTCAGAGTCTCTAGCTGTTTGGCTTTGATGGTGGTGCGGGGTCCCCGCCGCTTGGCCCCCAGGTTCTGGTCGTCGTTTTCGTTGCTCCCCGTCTCCTTGTCGGAGACGTTGGCGCTTTCCGAGTCCTTGGCGTCGTCCTGGGAGGGGTCTTGAGAGTCGGGGGACAGGCTGGGGTCACTGCCGGTGGTGGCTGGGGAGAACAAACCCGGGTCACGCTCAGCCGGGGGGAAATTCCGACCGCGAGGTTCGGGCCGCGGTAGGAGCGGGGGAGAGGAGAAAGGAAGGAGACGAAAAAGGGAAGAAGAAAAAAAGAAGGGAGACAAGAAGGAGAGGAAAAAAGAGGGATAGGAAAGCGAAGGGAGAAGAGAGTGGAGGAAGAAAACAAGGGAGAGGAGAACAGAGAAAGGAGGGAGAGCAGAAAGGAAAAGACAGGAGAAAGAAGAGAAGGAGGAAGGAGAGCAGCGTCTCTTCCCAAGGAGCAGCCGGTGCTGAGCGCATCCCCGCCCTCACCGCCCCGGCCGCGCTCCCTCACCTGAATGCAAGCTGTTTTCTTTGGCAGTATTGCTGTTATTTAGGTAATCTTCTTTGCAGACAAACTTGTTCTCGTCTATGATGTAGAGCTCCTCGCCGGTGGAGAGTTGCTTGTTACACATCATACACGTAAAACAGTTCAAGTGGAACACTTTGCTCCGCGCCCTGCGGACCAGGTCGCTGGGGGAGATGCCCTGGGCACAGCCCGCGCACTTGGTCCCGAAACACCTGCGGGGAGAGGCCGGGCAGCGCTCAGCAGCGCCCGCCGAGCGCGGCCCCGAGCCGCGGCCTCCGCGCACCCTGCTCGGCCACGGAAAACGGGGTTAAATCAAAGACAGCATCCCTGCAGAGCGCTCTCTCTCCCCGATATTACAGCTTTTAAAAATAAAAATCAAGCCCGGCCTGGGCAGCGGGCGCGGGACCGTGCTCGGGCTCGCCAAACGCCGGGGCTGCTGCGCTGCCCGGGTGTCCCCGCGCCCCGACACCGGCATTAAGGACGCTCTGACAAACAGCTCGCAGGAATTCTACGCGTTCCGTGTGTCGGTACCGGCCTCGGTCGCGCTCCGGCCGGAGGAGCCGCCGGTGCGGGCAAGGCCGGCGCGGAGAGTCGGGGGATGGCGGGGCCGGGGCCGGACCCGCACCGGGGCCAGAGGCCTCCCGTGCCCCGCTCAGCCCCGCGGGCTCTGGGAACCGGGACCGGAGAGTGCCGGGCCCGTTCTCGGGGAGAAGCGGAGGAGCTCGGAGCAGTGCCCGTCCCCGTGCCCAGGGAGAAGCGGCAGCGGGGCTCGGGCCGCGCTCCGCCGGGCCGGGCCGGGCGCTGTGCCGGTGTACGGAGGGGGCTCCGCGGCCTCCCCGGCCCCGAGCCGGTCCCTGCCCTTATCGCCGGTGTGCGGCGGCGGGGCCAGGCGGGGCAGCGGCACCGGCTGCCGCTCCGAGCCCGGGATTGATGCCAGCGCCGCAGCGGGCCGGGACGCGCGGGGAGAGCGGCGGCGAGCGAGCGTCGGTCACCGCTTCCCTCTCCATCCATCCATCCATCCATCCATCCATCCATCCATCCAGCCACCGGCGAAGGGTCGCTGCTCTCGGACCGGCCTCGCTCCGGTGCACGGGATGCGCTGGGCCCGCGGAGCGCCCGCACCGCGCCTTCCCCGCCGGCGGCACCGGGAACATCGCCGGGCTCACGGCCGCGGAGCCCCGGCGGGGTCAGCCCCGCTCCGCTGCCCCGGGCCCGGGACGGTGCCCGCGCTCCCCCGGCTCGGCCCGGCCCGGCGGTCGATAGTTTGGAGGGAACTTTGGGCAACTCGAGCTCGACCGGGGACGCGGAGAGCGGCGACATCAACGGGCCCGACCCCGGGCCCGACCCCCGCCCGTCCCCTGCCCCGAGCCCACCGGGAGAAGCAGCCGCGGTTTGAGATGTTCGCGTGTCGCGGGGAGGGAAGAGGCAATTGTGGGTCCCGCTGACAACGGGGGAAACAACAAAAATAAAGGGAAAAAATGGAGGTGAAAAAAGAACGGAGAGGAGCGGCGGGGGCAGGCGCAGGCCGGTACTCACCGAAAGAAGTCGTTTTTGCAGTAAAGCTTGCCTTCTCGCGAAAAGCATTTCTCTGTCAAATTGCATTTACATTCACAGCACTGAACACACTTCACATGCCAAGCCCTGTCCAGTACATTCAACAAAAACCGGTCCAAGATCGGCCTTTTGCAGCCTGCACAGTGAACCATTGTCTTTGGTTAGTTCTGAGGGGGGCAGCGGTTTCCCAGGTATCAAGGAAAAAAAAAAATAAATAAAAACAACAATTTTTTTTTTTTAGAAAGACGACAACACCGGCGAAGGTTTGGTTTTTGTTTTGTTTTGTTTTTCTTTCTTTCTTTTTTTTTTTTTTCTTGATTTTGTGTATGTATCTTTTAAAAGCCTTGGAGAAGTGAAGAAGGATAAAAAGAAAGGGAGGCAGAAGAAAAATCTTCGTTCGAGTGTCCTAGAAGGGGTACACAGGAGAACCCCCCACTGCCCAGCGCTTCGACACAGCCGCAGGATCCCGGCCGCCACCAACCACACGGATAATAATAATAATAGTAATAATAATAGTAACAATGAAACAATAACGGCTATAAAGGTCGGCGCTCAGAAAAATAAAAATTAAAAAAATTAAAAATAAAACCGCCAAAAAAGCGAGCGTGATGAGTTTCTCTAAGGTCTGAGGTAGAGCAGTCAGGAGTCAAAGTGCTTTTCCCAATGAGAAATCAAAGGAAGAAAAAAATATAATAACGACAACAACAATAATAATAATAATAATAAATAACGAGCCGGGACATGGAGAGGCGGTGGCGGTCAGACGGGCTGTGGCTGCTGCCGCGGCGACATCGCCCTGCGCGTCCTGACGCGGGGATGGGGACACGCGGGGACGGGGACACGCTCCGCCGCTCCTCGCTCCGCCGCTCGCTCTCCTCTCTCTCTCTCTCTCTCTCTCTTCTCGTTCTCCCTCCCTCGACGTCTCGGCGGTACCGTCGCGCCGGCTCTGTCCGTCCGTCCGTCCGTCCGTCTGTCAGTCCTACCTACCCCCGCGCATCGCTACCCGCGGCGGCCGCCCGTGTCCGCGGCGTGGCATGGCCCGGCGGTGGCGGAGCGCAGGGCCCGGCCGGGCGGAGGGCGCGGGGCAGAGGGGCGGCCCCGCCGTCCGGCCGCGCAGGGGCTCTGCATGGTCCCGGCGCCGCGCCGCGCCGCCGCCGGACGGGGCGTCCGCGCCCCTTTATAGAGCCGCCGGGGCGCCGCCGCCGCCTCCGCCCGCCGGCCCGCCGAGCGACCGACCGACACACCGATAGACACACCGACAAACACACCGACCGACACACCGACGGCCGGCCCGGCCCCCCGAGCGCGATGCCGCGGTAGGTGTGAGGGAGCACGGACGTGGGCACGGTGCGCTCGGTGGGGTCTGGCACCCCCGCGGGGTCACGGATCCGTCAGAGCGAGCCGGTGGCCACCGCCGGCCGGAGGAGTGCCTCGCTAGGGACCGGCGACAAACGAGATCCCGCTTCGGCGGGGCTTCCCCGAGGGCGCGGGGTCTCCGCGGGGCGCGGAGTCGAGGAGAATCCTGAGGCGGGCCGCTGTTCCCGGGAGGAGCGGTGCGGCGGGGCCGGGACTGCGGCCCGGGACGCTCCGGCGGGGCCGCCCGGGTGGGGAGGGGGCGGCGGGCCCGGGGCCACCGGACCGCCGAGGGCACGGCGGAGGCGCCGCTAACTTCGCCGTGGTTCCGTTACCGGCGCATGTCCGGGGCCGAGGAGCACCGGCCACCGCCGTGTACCTTCTTTATTTTTTTTTTAATTTTTTTTTTGGTAAATAAAAATTAATTCGCTTTTACCTTCCAGGGGCCGGTCGGTACCGGGGCGGTGCGGAGGGACGAGGTTTCTCTTTCCTTCGCACTTTGCTGCCCGTCGGGAGCCACCGCTCCGGGGAGGTGTCACCGCCTGGCCCCGGCCCCGGAGCCCGCCCCTCTCCCCGTCCCAGCGGGCTGAGCCCGGGCGGGGACCGGGGAGGGGACGGGCGGATGGAAGGTGCCTGGGGTCACTCACAGCCCCGAGAGCCGCGGCTGGGCGCGGGGATGGCCGAGGCCCGCCCCGGAGCCCGCAGCATCCCCCGCCTGGACACACTGCCCTCGCTCTCTTTCACGTCTGTTTTCCTCGTCCTTGAGAGGGGAAAAAAAATTAAAAAAGCGAGGAAGGCATAAATTGGAACACAGAAACATAAAGAAAAGCAGGAAACCCGCTCCGCGCGGGGGGCAGCCGGGACCGGCGAGGATGCAGAGCCTGCCCGGGCGGGGAGAGGCGGTTCCAGGGCTGTCCCGGGGCTGTTCCAGGGCTGTCCCGGGGCCGGGACATCGCCTCGGAGCTCCTGCGATGTTTAAAAGCCCCGCGCTGTCACCCTCGGCCCGTCGGGGCGCGCAGCTGTCGGTTCGCTCGGGGGCGGCCGCCGGGGCTCAGCGGGGCCGGGCTCGCCCCGCCCGGTCCCCGCACATGGGCGCTTCTCATGCGGAGCCGGCGCCGCCCGGGAAGGCGACAGCTGCGGGCTGCCGTCAGGGGAGCGCTCCGGGCCCCGGTGCCATGTGTCGGTGGGGATGAATGAGGGGAAGGCGATGAGCATCTCGCGTCCATCAAGCACCAGTTTTTCACAGCGATTTTTTTTTTTTCTCCTTTCCCAGGCGTTAGCGAAAGCATCTGGTTGTCCCCCCGCTGCCGGGGGGCTCAGGCCGTGCCCAGCCCCTCCCCGCGGGCTCCGGGGTCCCCCCGCTCCGCTGCGCTTCCCGGGGAGCTCTGTCCGCCCGAACCCCCCGAGCCCCGCTCGGGACAGGAGGGGGACAGTGGGGATCCCGACCCAGAGCAGGCGCTTGAGAGGCCAAATCGCCCACGCTTGTCTCCAGCAGACCCGAAAATCAAGCCCCGGGCAGCATCCCCGGGCTGCCCCGGCCTCCTGCACCCCGCGGGGCCGGGCTGGGGCACCCCCAGGGAACCCCCCAGGCAGCAGCACCGTGTGCCGCCCCCTCGGAGCGCCGGCTGCTGGGTTCGGGGCGATTTTTTGTTTTTCACTCTATTTTGCAATTCGCCCAGGGTCGAGGCCCCAGCCCCAGGCGGGGCCGAGCCCGCCCGAACCCCGCGGGGAGCGGCCGGGAGGTTCCAGAGCAGCCCCGGCCGGCCCCAGTGCTGGAAGGAACAACATTAAGTGAGTAAGAAAGAAAAGAAAGAAAGAAAGAAAGAAAAAGGGGAAATCAGCAGATCCCAGTGCTGGAAGGAACGACATTAAGTGAGTAAAAAAGAAAAGAAAGAAAGAAAGAAAAAGGGGAAATCAGCAGATGTTTTAAAAAGGGAATTTTTTAAAGGATGGAAATTAAAAAGAGGGAAAAAATTAAAATTTTAAAGAATAGAGTGTAAGTAAAATAGTGACTAGTGAAAGAGACCCAAATAAAGAGAGAGGGAAAATAAAAGAGTGAAAAAAACCCCCCAAACCCACAAATGCCAAACAAACCCAAACTCAAATTAATTTTAAATCTAATACCGAAGAAAACAACCAAGTCCCTTTCAGGCGAGTTTAAATTTGCATTTTATGGGTGTCGTTCCCATCTTTTCAGATAAACATCACCCTGTTTATCACCCCCTTTCGCCGCCGCTGCGCTCAGTAATGGGATTTCTCTTTCGTTTTCGGGGTGCCGGGGCTGCACAAGCCCTGAGCCCCCACCGCGGCTCCTTGCGGAGCATCCCCGCATCCCCAGCCGGGCAAACCCTTCCCTCCCACGCGCTGGAGCCGCTTCCCACCACATCCACCCCCCGACAGCGCTAAGTTTTCCCTCTTTTCCTATTCATTTGAAATTTGATTTTCTTTCCCCCCTCCTTTTAAACCTTTCTCCAGGACCGCGCGGGCACGGGGCCGGTGACCGGCGCGGGCCGGGGGCGGGGGGAGCCCCGAGCTCCCGTTCCGGCCCCTCCGCTCCCGGGGGCGCTCCCGGAGGGGTCTCGCTCGCTCTCTGTGGGGCACAGCCCGCAGGGAAGGTGGGGGTCCCACCTCTCCCCCGGCCCCCGCACCTTCCCCCGCAGGAAGAGCGCCTCCGCCTGATTAAATATATATGCGGTTAATGCTCTGGCCAAATATTGAAGTTAAGATGTAATTAAGCATTTAGAACATCCCCGCGCAATAAACCCCATGGCTGGACAGGATCCATCCCCAGGTTTGTTTTAAAAGAGCTTGAAAAAAAAGAAGAAGAAGAAGAAAAAGATCTTTAAATTATGTATTAGAAGGTCCCAGTTTATCCTGCCACACTCGGGTCGATGCTGAGGGTAAACACCACAGTGTCGCCCCCCGGCTCCGCTCGCCTTTCCCTTTTCTTTTCTTTCTTTTCTATTTATTTTCCTTTTCCTTATTTATTTTCCTGCTCCCCACGCCCGTGATTAGCCCTCCCGGGTTTCTGCCCACGTCGCTAAATGTTGTCGCTTACACTCCGAGCTCATGCATTGTTTATGGGAAATACGGTTAATAAATAATTACAAATCCGAGGAGCGCGGCTGTGCCTTTGACTGACGGGAGAGTGTCCGGGAAGGGCCCGGGGGTGGCCGGGGGTGGCCCCGAGCCCGGCGGGGAGCGGGGCTGTGGGACAGCCGAGCGGGATCCTCACTCGGTAAAGGGCAGATAAAAGGCGAATAAAAGAGAGAGAGAGAAAAAAAAAAAAGAAAAGTGGAGAGGTAGAGGGGGCGAGGGGGGGCTATAAAAAAAGAGGGTGAAGCGAACCCCCGGAGGATGCACCGCTCCCGGCTCATCCATCTTCATTGTCTCCGTGTGTGCAAAAGCAACTCCGGTCTAAGGAAAAGCCACTATCAAAGCCATGGCTTTATTTTATATCCTATAGATCAGGAGGGAGGCAAAGCTTTATTTTCGCCCAGAGACAGATATTTTATTTCTCTCTTACGGTTTTATGTGTGAGAGATGTCAAAAAGGTAAAATAGATTGCTAATGCATAGGCAAAACGAAGCTGTTTTGGCATGCTCTGTGTCAGGAGGGCTCCCGGGGAGCGCGGGCTGGGGATTTAGGGCTGATGGGGGACTCGGGGGGATTCTGCTAAAACATCTCTCTCCATAAATCCAGCCGCATGGTCAGCGCGAGCGGCAGGAGGAGTTTTAAAGGGGAAGAGTTGGAGCGCGGCGGAGCGGAGCGGGATCCCGGCCCCGCACGGCTCGGCCCCGCCGGGGTCCCGGGGGCGCAGCCGCTCTCCCACCGCTGGGGACCGGCCCGGGCCGCTGCCGGCGGCACAAAGCGCTCCCGGCTCATCCCGCCCCACAACCTCCCCGCCTGATTTTA